ATAACATGTCCTAAGTACATGAGATGAAGTCTCCCCATACTTGCTTCCAAGGAGTACTCTGGCTGTTATTTCTTCCATGATAAATTTGATTGTTCTTCTGGCAGTCCATGGTATATTCAACATTCTTCACCAACACCATAATTCAAATGCATCAATTCTTCAGTGGTCTTTCTTATTTACTGTTCAGCTTTCACATGCATATAAGGTGATTGAAAATATCAGGGCTTAGGTCAAGCGCCCTTAGTCCTCAGAGCATCTTTGCTTTTTAACACTTTAAAGAGGTCTTTTGCAGCAGATTTGTCCAATGCAATACATCGTTTGATTTCTTGACTGCTGCTTCCATGGGTGTTGACTGTGGATCCAAGTAAAATGAAATCCTTGACAACTTCAGTATTTTCTCCGTTTATCATGATGTTGCTTGTTAGTCCAGTTGTGAGGATTTTTGCTTTATGTTGAGATGTAATCCATACTTAAGGCTGCAGTCTTCGATCTTCATCAGAAAGTGCTTCAAGTCCTCTTCACTTTTAGCAAGCAAGGTTGTGTCACCTGCATATCACAGGCTGTTAATGATAAGTCTTCCACCAATCCTGATGCCACATTCTTCATACAGTCCAGCTTCTTGGATTATCTGCTCAGCATACAGAGTGATAAGTAAGTATGGTGAAAGGATACAACCCTGACACACACCTTTCCTGACTTTAAACCACGCAGTATCCCCTCATTCTGTACGAACAACTGCCTCTTGGTCTATGTACAGGTTCCACTTGAGCACAATTAAGTGTTCTGGAATTCTCATTCTTCGCAATGTTATTCATAATTTGTTATGATCCACACAGTCGAATGCTTTTGCATAGTCAATAAAACACAGGTAAATATCTTTCAGGTATTTTCTACTTTCAGCCAAGATCCATCTAACATCAGCAATGATATCCCTCAATTCATGTCCTCTTCTGAATCCGGCTTGACTTTCTGGCAGTTCCCTGTTGATGTACTGCTGCAATAGTTTCTGAATTATCTTCAGCAAAATTTTACTTGCACGTGATATTAGTGACATTGTTTGATAATTTCCGCATTCTGCTGAATCACTTTTCTTTGGAATGGGCACACATATGGATCTCTTCCAGTAGGCTCGCCAGATAGCTGTCTTCCAAATTTCTTGGCATAGACGAGTGAGCACCTCCAGTGCTGCATCCATTTGTTGAAACATCTCAACTGGTATTCAGTTAATTCCCAGAGCTTTGTTTTTGGCCAATGCGTTGAGTGCAGCTTGAATTTCTTCCATCATATCTTTATCATATGCTACCTCCTGAAATGGCTGAACGTTGACAAATTCCTTTTGGTACAGTGACTCTGTGTATTCTTTCCATCTTCTTTTGATGCTTCCTGTGTTGTTTAGTATTTTCCCCATAGAATCCTTCAATACTGCAACTCAAGGCTTAAATTTTTTCTACAGTTCTTTCAGCTTGAGAAATGCCAGGTGTGTTCTCCCCTTTTGGTTTTCTAACTCTAGGTCTTTGCACATTTCATTATAATACTTTACTTTGTCTTCTCGAGTCATCCTTTGAAATCTTCTGCTCAGCTCTTTTACTTCATCATTTCTTCCATTTGCTTTAGCTACTCTACGTTTAAGAGCAAGTTTCAGAGTCTCTTCTGACATTCATTTTGATGTTTTCTTTCTTTCCTGTCTTTTTAATGACCTTTTGATTTCTTCATGTACGATGTCCTTGATGTCATTCCACAACTTATCTGATCTTCAGTCATTAGTGTTCAATGCGTCAAATCTATTCTTGAGATGGTCTCTACATACAGGTAGGATATACTCAAGGTCGTACTTTGGTTCTCTTGGACTTGTTTTAATTTTCTTCAGTTTCAAATTAAAATTTTCATATGAGCAAAAGGGTCTGTTCTGCAGTTGGCCCCTGGCCTTGTTCTGACTGATCATCTTGAGCTTTTCCATCATCTCTTTCCACAGATGTAGTCAATTTGATTCCTGTGTTTTCTATCCAGTGAGGTCCACGTGTATAGTCGCTGTTTATGTTGTTGAAAAAAAGTATTCGCAATGACTAAGTCGCTGGTCTTGCAAAATTCTATTGTGCAATCTCCGGCATTGTTTCTATCACCAAGGCCATATCTTCCAGCTGCAGATCCTTCTTCTTTCCAACTGTCACATTCCAATCACCAGTAATTATCAATACATCTTGATTACATGTTTGATCAATTTCAGACTGTAGAAGTTGGTAAAAATGTTCGATTTCCTCATCTTTGGCATTAGTGGTTGGTGTGTAAACTTGAGTAACAGTCATAGTAACTGGTCTTCCTTGTAGGTCTTCCTTGTAGGTATATGGAGATTATCCTATCACTGACAGCGCTGTACTTCAGGACAGATCTTGAAATGTTCTCTTTGATGATGAATGTGATGCCATTCATCTTCAATTTGTCATTCCCGGCATAGGTGACCATATGATTGATCCCAAATGGTCAATACCAGTCCATTTCAGCTCACTAATGCCTAGGACATAGATCTTTATGCATTCCATTTAATTTTTGATGACTTCCAATTTTCCTAGATTCATACTTCGTTCATTCTACGTTCCTATTATTAATGGACATTTGCAGCTGCTTCTTCTCATTTTGAGTTGTGCCACATCAGCAAATGAAGGTCCCAGAAGCTTGACTCCATCCACGTCATTAAGATCAACTCTACTGTGAGGAGGGAGATATTCCCCACTTGTACTGTCAGTACCGTCCAACTGAGGGGCTCATCTTCAGGCACTATATCAGACAATATTTTGCTGCTATTCATAAGGTTTTCACTGGCCAACTTTTTCAGAAGTAGACCTTCAGGTTCTTCTTTCTAATCTGCCTTAGTCAGGAAGCTCTGCTTTGCTGAAACCTGTCCACCATGGGTTAACTTTGCTGGTATGTGAAATACTGGTGGCATAGCTTCCAGCAACATGCAAGCCACCATAGTACGAAAAACTACAATTTGTTTACTCATTCACCTGTTGATGGGCATTTGGGATGCTGACAGTTTTGGGTATTACAAATAAAGCTGCTATGATCATCTATGTACATCTTTGTAAGGACATGCTTTCATTTCTCTTGTATAAAATATGTTGGTTTTTTGATCTCACGTCTCATATATTATAATTATATATACAATTAAACATTTTATATTACATATTACAAATATAATGTAGATATTATATGTTATATATGTGTATGCATGTCTGTATATATGTGTGTATACACACACACACATGAATCATAAGAAATATTAACCTTTGGAGAGAGGTATTAGGCAGACGGGAGAGTGGCTTTTACTATTCCTTTTGCATTTTGTTTGCATATGAATTTTTATTTGAATTATATACAAAATATAGGAATCTTTAATTTCTAGAATATGTCAACAGGAACCACTGGGCAAGGAGATTATGGCTCACTGTTTTGTTTTCTTCTTTGTATCTCTCTGTATTTAAAAAAATCTAATAATGCTATTTTTTAAAGGTAAAAACAGGGAAAATCTCTCAAAACATTCATACTGACACAGCCTTCAGTCAGACAGTTTATTATCTGTAATTCTGCACAACACTAGAGGCTTGTAACTAACTATTCTCCCTAACCTCAGGCTTTCCCTTCTTTAGTCTATCCTATATAGATGGACACAGTCACTACAGTCATTTTTTTAAACTGAAAATTTGATAATATGGCTCCTACTTAGTCTTTTGAGTACTCTCTCTATCAAAAATAAAACCAACACTTATTATCAGGGTATATAAGATCCTTTACGTCATCCTTCAACATCATTTTCTCCCACTCATCTATGTACTCCAGGTTCTAGTCCTGCAGGCATACTAATAATATGCCAAGTTCTTTAACTTCTTGATGTCTCCTTCTTCTTTCCTCTGTTAGTTCTCTTGGTAAATGCTTATTCATCCACTAGGATGATTATTATCAGAAAAATGGAAAATAAGGTTTGTTGAGAATGTGGAGAAACTGGAACTCTCATCCAGAGCTGGTGGGATTGTAAAATGGTACAGTGTTGTGGAAAACAGTTTGGCAGTTCTTCAAAAAGTTAAATATAGAATCATCATACGACTCAGCAATTCCACTCCTAGGTATATACCCAAAAGACTTGAAAGCAGGGACTCAAACACATATGTGTACACCAATGTTCATTGCAGCATTATTCACAATAGCTAAAAGGTACAAACACCCTAAGGTACATCAACAGATAAATGGATAAATAACATGTGGTATATACATACAATGAAATATTATTTAGCCATAAAGAAAAATGAAGTTCTGATACATGCTATGACATACATGAACTCTGAGAACATGCTAAGTGAAATAAGTCAGACAAAAGGACAAATATTATATGATCCCACTTATGTGAAATATCTAGAACAGACACATGCATAAAGACCAAAGCTTATTAGTGGTTACTAGGTGTGGGTGAGAGGGGTAAATAGGGATTGACTGTTTAAGGGGTATGGTCTGTTAAGGGCTATGGAGAGAATTTGGACTGGATAGTGGTGATGGTTGCACAACCTGGTAAATGTAACTAAGGTCACTAAATTGTACACATAAAAGTGCTTAAAATTGCAAATGTTTTGTTATATATATTTTACCATAGTAAAACAAAAAACAAACACCCTGCCCCCCAACCCCCAAACCAGCTCCAACTAAAATCCTTTCAAAGACTTCTGATGTTAAGGGAAAAGACTTCTAGCAGTTTGACAATATACTTTATAAATATAGGCTCTGCTTCTGATTTTATGTGTGTTTTTGTATAGTTTGAGAACACAACTAGTCACTTGAGGAACATGAGCCCTCCCCAGGTTCAAAAAGATATATACACGTATATTACCCAAACACTAAAGAAAAGCTTAATCAAAGAAGATGAATGGAAAATTTAAGTACTGTTAGAACAAGATTTACTTTCATTTCAATATACACTCCAGTCAAAAGAAATGGTAATTGTTTGAAAACCTTACCTGCTACTGAATTTGGTCGCGGCATAAGATATAGTGGAATAGACTGTACTGATTGGGACAAAACTGTTTCCAAATTCCTCTCTGGGATTTTATTCAGACTATAGGTGGAAGCCATCATGTTTTCATCTACTCGATATAAACAGGAGTCCATGCTGGATTTTTGAGACTGCCAAGGTTTCAGGTTTCCTCCAGATCCTAATTCTTTACTGTTTTCCCCAACATATTTTGTGCGTTCCATGTTTTCAGAATAGCTTGTCAATGTAGCTGAAAAATAAAGAGAGTAAAATAAATAATAAAAAAGAAAGTAGAGATAAGCCTGTTTGATTATCCAAATTCATGATTAGATAATATTATTAATACTGTTTTAAAAAGCCACCTATGATCATTTCATCTCCATCAGAAAGTTTAAATAATTGAAACCAAAACATAACCATCTCTCACATATACGTACTTTAACAACTCTATTTAAATGAATTAAATAAATTCATATATTCAGACTACATTAGCAGTAAAATTTTAGGATGGAAATTTATTTAGATTCATAACATTATAGGATCATAATAATGGTAAGAAGGAAAATTTAAAATGAATGCTTATCACTTTCTTCTAATTTATAATATTTTTATAGACTTTAATGCATACTTTTTTAAATAACTATCTTACTCCTTAAATATGTCAATATTCATTGAAATCACAGGACTCAGACTTTTTAAGTAGAATACATAATTAGTATGGGTCAATGAGGTCAAATATTAACAGCTAAATGATATCTGTTCTTCTGGATTACAACAATATGCCCTATTTGCCTGTTTATGCCCTCTATTTATTTTTCCAGGGGGGTGTAAACATCTTTTTCTTGTTTATTTGTAAATACTCAACATATAATGTTTTATTTATGTGTTGCTCCTCACATAGGTGGAAAATATTTTTCCCAGCTGATTTGTGACTTTAGTGATATATTTTCTTTGCTGAATAGAAGTTTTGAATATTTATGTAGTCATTATCAAATTTTTTCTTCCATAGTTCCTGCCTTTTATGTTATGCTTAGAAAGTTCTCCATTCTAAAATTATAAAGAAATTTACCAGTACTGTTTTCTAATACTTTTATGGTATCATTTTTTACATTTAAATATTTGATTAATCTGGATTTGTTTTGATATAAATTATGAGGTTAGATCTAATTTAATTTCTTTCTAAGAACTATGTATGTGCCAGACCGTTTATTGAGTAATTCAACCTCTCTCCACTAATGTGAAATGTCAGTGATACCATATATTAAATTATTTTATGCATTTGATATGTTTTAGACTCTATGTTCTGCCCTACTGATAAACACCCTTTTCAAAGGCACAACACAAAAACTTAGTTTCTTAGGTAAGAGGGAAAAGAACATTCATTCATATTATTCCTTATTTTTCTAGCAAAGTTGGTTATTAGAAATGGGGAATATACATAATATACAGCCCAGGGCCCTAGATATTTCACAGTTTTACACTGCTAGTATAACTCAGTTCTAGGTCCTGTTGGTAGCTTGACAGTACCCAGTTAAGGAAGTACCAGGCAATTTTCCTAACTATCTATATGGTTGGTATTACAGTTTTTTATTACCATAATTACTTTCATAAATATATCTTCAATAATATGAAGCAAATATATAATTAAGTTTATAACTGGAAATTCCTGGGAGGTCTAAGAAATGGGACGTTTTTTCCAGTTTACATATAAAGGGATATTTGGGGATTATATATGAAATAGGAGGAGATGTCTAGAATATAAACTTATGACACTTAGACATCTGTGCAACTTCTCAAAGTCTGTTTTTAAAGGGAATTATATAATCTTCACGGATTGCTGGATAGCCCCGAAGGTCCCAAATAGAATGCTATTTCTTTTTTTTTTAAATTAATTTTACTGTATTTTAGGTGAGTTTTTCATTCAAAATTTATACACAAATTGTTTTGTGACATTGGTTGCAATCCCTGCAATGTGTCAGCACTCTCCCCCTTTCCCTTTCCACCCTGGGTTCTTGCTTGTTCATCTGTTCAGTTTTCCTGTCCCTTCCTGTCTTCTTGTCTTTGCTTTTGGGCAGGTGTTGCCCATTTGGTCTCATATACTTGACTGAACTAATAAGCATGTTCCCCAAGAGTGTTACTGTTTGTTTTACAAGCCTGTCTAATCTTTGGCTGAAAGGTGGACTTTGGGAGTAGCTTCAATTCTGAGTTACAGGGGTGTCTGGGGCCATAGTCTTGGGGGTTCCTCCAATCTCTGTTAGACCAGTAAGTCCGCTCTTTTCTTAGAATTTGAAGTTTGTTCTACATTCTTCTCCTACTCTGTCTGGGACCCTCTATTGTGATCTCTGTGGGAGCAGTAGGTGGTGGTAGTGGGGCACCATCTGGTTCTTCTGGGCTCAGGCTGGTAGAGGCTGTGGTTCATGTGGTCCATCAGTCCTGTGGACTAATATTTTCCTTGTGTCATTGGTTTTCTTCATTCTCCCTTGCTCTGAACATGATGGGATCAACAGATGTATCTTAGATGGCCGCTTGTAACCTCTTAAGACCCCAGACACCACTCACCACAGTAGGATGTAGAATATTTTCTTTATGAACAATGTTATTTCAATTGACCTAGATGTCCCCCAAGACCATGGTCCCTAACCCTCAGCCCCAGTAATTCGGTCCCTCAAAGTATATGGATGTGTCTAGGAAGCTTCTATGACTGCTTTGGTCAAGTTGTGCTGTAATGCTACACTCTTTTTAGTCTATTCTTTCCCGATTTACATTTATTTTCTGGCCCTTTATATGTAACAAAGAATTAGAATAAAATAAACAGTCTCCAAGTAGAAGCTAATATGGGAGAAATACATGATCTCTACCCCCAAGTAGCTTCTAGTCAAGTGAGGTAAACAGCTGAACTACTGATGTTAATTTGAGATATAAAATAACAATTATTATCATTAGCACAGAAATTGCAACATATGTCCCTAACTTAATTGACTGTAAAAATACAAATCACGCAAAATGTTTGGCTATAACAAATCCGATCAGGGTCTAATCCCTAAAATCTATAAGATACTGGAAAACTTCAACAACAAAAAGACAAATAACCCAATTAAAAAACAGGCAAAGGATATGAACAGGCACTTCGCCAAAGAAGATATTCAGGTGGCTAACAGATACATGAGGAAATGCTCACGATCATTAGCCATTAGGGAAATGCAAATCAAAACTACAATGAGATACCATCTCACCCCAACAAGGCTAGCATTAATCCAAAAAACACAAAATAATAAATGTTGGAGAGGTTGTAGAGTGACTGGAACACTTATACACTGCTGGTGGGAATGTAAAACGGTACAACCACTTTGAAAATTGATTTGGTGCTTCCTTAAAAAGCTAGAAATAGAAGTACCATACAATGCAGCAATCCCATTCTTTGGAATATATCCTAGAGAAATAAGAGCCACCACACAAATAGATACATGCACACCCATGTTCACTGCAGCACTGTTTACAATAGCAAAAAGATAGAAACAACCTAGGTGCCTCCCAACGGACAAATGGATATACAAATTATGGTATATTCACACAATGGAATACTAGACAATGATAAAGAATAACAATGAATCCATGAAATATCTCATAACATGGATGAATCTGGAAGGCATTATGCTGAGTGAAATTAGTCGCATAAGGAAAAATATTGGATAAGACTACTATTATAAGAACTAAAGAAAAGGTTTAAACACAGAAAAAAACATTCTTTGATGGTTATGAGGGTGGAGAGAGAGGGAGAGTGGTATTCACTAACTAGATAGTAAACAAGAATTATCTTAGGTGAAGGGAAGGACAACACACACTACAGGGGAAATCAGCCCAACTGGACTAAACCAAAGCTAAGAAGTTTCCTGAATACAACCAAACACTTTGAGGGACAGAGCAGCAGGGGCAGGGGCCTGGGGACCATGGTTTCAGGTGACATCTAGGTCAACTGGCATAACAAAGCTTATTAAGAAAATGTTCTGCATTCCACTTTGATGAGTAGTGTCTGGGGTCTTAAAAGCTAGTGATCAGCCATCTAAGATGCATCAACTGGTCCCAACCCACCCGGAGCAAAGAAGAATGAAGAACACCAAAGACACAAGGAAAATATTAGCCCAAGAGACAGAAAGGGCCACATAAACCAGACACTTCATCAGCCTGAGACCAGAAGAACTAGATGGTGCCCAGCTACCACCAATGATCACCCTGACAGGGAACACAACAGACAGTCCCTAATGAAGCAGGAGAAAACTGGGGTGCAGAACTCAAATTCTAGTAAAAAGACCAGTCTTAATGGTTTGACTGAGACTGGTGGGACTCCAGAAGACATGGCTCCTGGACTCTCTGTTAGCCCAAAACTGAAACCATTCCTGAAGCCAACTCTTCAGACAAATATTAGACTGGACTATAAGACAGAAAATGATACTCATGAAGAGTATGCTTCTTAGCTCAAGTAGATACATGAGTCTAAATGGGCAGCTCCTATCTGGAGGCAAGATAAGAAGGCACAAAGGGATAGCATCTGGTTGAATGGACAGGGCAAATCTGGGGTGGAAAGGAGGAGTGTGCTGTCACAGTATGGGGAGAGCAAGTAGGGTGACATAGCAGTGTGTGTATAAATTTTTATATGAGAAACTAACTTGAACTGTAAACTTTCATTTAAAGCAAAACTTTAAAAAAAGTAAGAAAATACTAATCACTTTTGTTCATTAAAAATATTAAATGTAAATTTCTAGACAATAATTACAAGAGACGAAAAATACACAATACTGGTGGGAACCAGAGGAGGGAAAATCTAACCCAGACTTGGGGGTTAGAGAAGACTTTTGTTTCCTAAATTGAGTGAATCAGATAAAGACATGTTCCATTCAAAGAGAATAACATATGCCAAGGCCTGGAGGTGTCATGGATTGAACCGTGTCAACTTCGCTAGGCCATGGTTCCCAGTATTGTGTGAAGGTCCACCATTTTGTCATCTGACGTGATTTTCCTATGTGTTGCAAATCCTATCTCTATGATATTAACGAGATGGGATTAGCAGCAGTTATGTTAATGAGGCAGGACTCAATCTACAAGAAAAGGTTGCATCTTAAACCAATCTCTTTTGAGATATAAAAGAGAGGAGTGAGTAGAAAGACAGGGGGACCTCATACCACCAAGAAAGCAGTGCTGGGAGCAGAGTGCGTCCTTTGGATTCGGGGTTCCTGGACTGAGAAGCTCCTCGAC